AATATGTTTCAAGCGAGTTGATATCACAATTATGGAACATATGTTATTTCCAGCACCTTCTTAAACACAAACAGCACCCTGCGTTATTACTATAGGTATTAGCCTTGTGTTTACAACTAATCATGAGAAATGTTGTCAGGTTCGACATTAACGTTGTCCTGTTATAAAGTTAAGAACAAATAAACATATAATCAACGTTATATAATATGTTTCAAGCGAGTTGATATCAAAATCATGGAACTTATGTTATTTCCAGCACCTTCTTAAAAACACAAACAGCACCCTTCAAGAACCCTAAAGTTTACGCTTCTTACTCTGTTCCAACATGACACTTGCGGTCTACAGCGGATCGGATTAACACGTCCATTTTGCGTGGCAGGTACAGCACGGTCAGATTTCCACACCCGTTTAAATTTATAGTATTTATAAGGCTTTCAGGTGTGGAAATCTGACCGCAACTGAGGTGTCGACATGTTGCACGTAGGATTCTAAGGGGAAAGGGTTTGTGATGTTTTAGAAGTCAAGAAGCGCAACTTTTGGCACCCCAGTGTATGATATAAGCGTTCCCTAGCCACTCAGACGGGTGGTTAGCCAAGTGGTTACTGCACGAGACGAGGGACATCCAGTTAGTCAACTGCTCGAATTTTTCAATAAGGTCATTCTTCGATTAGTTAGGGAGGGGAGCACCGCTTTCTCTTTTTGAACGTATACCATGCAGTAGGGGACATCTGAAGGCAACATAGAGTCCTTGTGGTCATACCTTCCGAGTCCGCCGAGTCCATACCCAGCAAGGCAGAGTTCTCTACACGACCGTGACTCGAAAACACTCCCTGAAAGGTGCTGGGGCCTTCAGCCTTCGGGGCCTTCGCTTCTTCCCCCGTTTGCTGCTGCTTCGCGCCGTGCGTCGGTCAGCACGGCCAGACCGGCCGCCCACCGGCTACGTCCGCACCAATAAGGCCATTGTGGCCGCGCGGTCGAGCGAGGCGTTGCGTGAGGTGTTGAAGAGCCTGGAGAAGGATCAAAGGCCGCTGAATGGCGTGAACTTGGCCACGATCTTCTTCAAAGCAGCCAAGCATCCAGAAGAGGTGGGGGAGACTCTGTTTTTTCCGGATCAGGTTCTGGTTGTGCTGTGCTGATTTGCACCCAAATTGGTGAGGTGGACGATGGTGGACCTTGTTTGACTCTTGACTCTTAACGACATGACAGACGGGACCGGCATATATACCTACATTGGGGTGGTCGACCCGGGGTCAATGTAATGAGAATGCTATACAGTATATATATAATATATTACTTTATAAATAAATATATTCCATACATGGAATCTTCCAATTCCATTTGTTGTGTCTGGGTAGTACGTGCGAGGTCTATTCTCCTTCGACCTTGGGCTTCCTCGCGAAGACTTTAGCTTGTGACGCGGTGAAGCTGGATGCACGCCAGTGTGCGAGTTGCTTGTATGGCTTGCAGAAGCTGACGCCCAGCGATCCTCACGTCCTTCAGTTGGTGGATGCCTTGGCGACGAAGATTCGGAAGAACCTGGAGATCAAAGACCAGCTGAATGCACAAGCTGTGAGCAATATGCTGTATGGCTTGCAGGGACTTTCGACGGACTTCCAGGAAGTGCGCCGCTTGCTGGTGGCCTTGGCCACGGTCTGCTCAAGGAAGCAGCGACTGTCTGCTCAAGGCACTGTGAAGGATGAAACAGCCAAATCGGGCTCGGTGCTGGCTCCATGGTTGGTGCTTCCTGTTTCAACTGAGAAGGGATCAGAACCCACTGGCTCACACACTGCTGTGATTGAACATAGGGCGTTTTGACCTGCCTCAGCCAGTTGTATGAATTGATCACATTTCTCGGCAGCCTACGTGTTTGGGTGTACGTGCACTTTCTTGGCTCTTCCAATGTGAAATGCATTTGGCTCTTGCTTGTGTGAAATGTATTGAACTTCTGAGCATCCTCAACACAAGTCAAACTTCCCCCCAGACTCGTATTTAGGTCAATACAACAACTCGAACCAAAAGCGCTCCCAATTATCTTGAACAACATTGGTTCCATCAAAACCAACCATAGATTGTGAGTATAGTCGTATAGTTCTTTTGTTTTGGTTGTGCCTTGCGGTGCCTTCCTGCAGGTGTTGGGAACGCTCTTTATGGCCTGCAAGGGATGAAGAGCGACGTATCAGAGCTTCAAGAGCTCTTGGTGGTTCTGAAGCCTCTGATCCAAAATGCGGCTGGCTTGGATGGCCAAGCCATTGGAAACGCGCTCTATGGTCTTCAAAGCATGACCAGCAGCTGCCGGGAGGTTCAAGAACTCTTACAAGCTTTGGCACAGAAAGTGAAGCATTTTGATGGAACGCTCACGGAACAGGAGACCAGCAATGCACTCTACGGGCTGCAATTCATGAATGGCGACGAAGCGCCCAGCGTCAAGGAGATTCTCCAAGTGCTTTCTCGCCAGACGGGTCCTGGGGGACAAGCGTCCATTGGAAGAGCGTTTCGCAGCGGAAAGCGACTCAGCCGCCATCCGGTGAATCCACTTGAAACATCAAGAGCAGCACTACCAGCTGATTGGTTGAAAGCAGCCTTTGGTTCGGATTCGACTGGAAAGGCTTCACCCGGATCGTGCTATTTCCTTGACCTTGGTTGTGACATGGGCGGCTTTGCCCGTGCAGTGGCTCAGGCGCGTCCAGATTTGCGTGTCATCGGTCTGGAGCTCCGGCACAATGCCGTGGCCTTTGCCAACGCCCGCGCGCGCGCGGAGGGACTGGCGAACGTGGCCTTCCTGGAAAGCAACGCTGCGCAGGACCTAGGGCAGCTGCTGGTGGATCTCCGAAAAGCCCAGGGCCACGTAGCGACGGTCAGCATGAACTTCCCAGATCCCCACTTGGACCGAGTGGAACACCGAGAAAGACGCTTGGTGAGTGGGAAGCTGGTGGCATGGCTGGCTGAACATTTGGAACCCAAGCGTGGGGAGGTGCTGTTTCAATCGGATGTAGAGCTGTTGACTGCTGAGGCGAAGGTGGGTTGAGGGAAACAATTGTGTACAGCAAGTTGTTGTTGGATTGATTCATTTGAGAAGACAAACCTAGCCCTTAGATTCCCCTTGGTGCTGGGATTTTGAATGCAATATCAAGATGGTTGAAGATGGTTTTCGATGGTTTTCGATACATCTGCATCTCTAACAACCCTCAAACGACCGCTTCTGACGCCTGCAGGCGGCCTTCTCTTTCAGCCAGTGCTTCGAGGTTTTAGCTTGGGAAGAGCGTGCAGAGTTGGTTCCCACAGAGCGGGAAACGGTGGTGCTGAAGCGAGGTCTGGAAGTGCACAAAGTGAGGCTCTTGAGAAGCAGTCAGCCTTTGCCAGAGGGGCTGGAAGCTGATGTGAATCGGCTCCTTGCACAAATGAGATTGACCCAGACATCATGTTGAAGTTTGATCAGGACCGTCCTACAGTTCCTACAGATGTTTGAAAGGCTTTTAGGTTTTCAGGAACGTGCACTGGCTGTGTGCCAAACTTTAAAGAGGGTCGTGAGTGAGGCTTTTACACCTCACATTGCAACCTCGCTCTTTCTGAGGGTTTTAAAGCATATCCTTTCTTCAGACCTTCCCGCGCGGGCTTTTATAGCGTGCGCCAGCTTGAGTCAAGACAAGTTAAAAGCCAGAAGTGCATTTGGATGCAGGCCTTGCTGTGCCGATGAAACTCGTCTCAGCTATGCTCTGTCGCAAGGATCCTCCTTTGGCCAATGACTTTCATCATCCTGGACTGGTGTACTGCCATCCTGTTTGGAGTCGAAGCACTGCGGAGCCAAAGGAGAGTGGGGGTCGCAGCACAAGACCGACTAAACCAGAGGATTCTCCTTCGAACAAGAGTGTGCCGAAGCGTGTGGTTGGACTACGAGGGACGGTTTTGTAGGCATTCCTTACTACCACGGTACCTCCGCACGATCCCATCTTCACGCTTTAGTCGTCCCAGCGACGAGTCCGACCGTCACACCGGGCCCGTGTTTCGCCCAACAAGTTCCAATGAAGGACACCAAATCCATCCAGATGCTCCGTGAAAAGCAGCCCTGGCAGCTACGACTCACGGGGTGAACCCGACTCGTCCGGTTCGGAGCGGATCCGGGGACGAACGGGTCGCGGTGGTCCACCGGTCGGTCTCCTGGTGACTCCACACCGGACCGGAGCCACGGGGAGCTGCATGCTGGGCGAAGTCCATGAGTGGGAAGTCCAGCCTTGACGTGGCGAAGTCCAGCCTTGCATGCTTTCTTAAGTTTGCACATCTCTCTCTCTCTCTATCGATGCTTCCCCCACGCTGTCACTTAGATGCTTCCGGCAGCTGTCCAATCAAACTCGAGCAAAGTTGTTTTGCCAGGAACTACTTGCAGAATACCTTGCTTGAAGTGGTCCTTGCTCCCAGATGCGTCGATTCCGTCCACCCATGCGGTGGTTAGCGCAGCTGTGGCCCGCCCTCTATTCGGCGAGTGTTTGAGATTCGAGCGGATCCTCAAAGAGAGGTGTTTTGAGGGCAACTTTTTACAAGAACTCCAAAGTCGACTATGCGACTTTTCAGATTTGAGTGACTTTTCAGATTTGATTCCTTGTTGGGTTTGCACACATTAGTAGAGTGTTCACCTGTTTGCAAGAATTCTGGGGTGTCTGGCTTCGGATCAACACCTTCACTACTCGGGCAACTCTTCGGTACATCATCCACGTCCCAGCCGAATCTTCACATCCACGTCCTGAACTCAGGATCGTCGCTTTCGCCGAACGGGCCCCGCCCCGCCCCGCGCCAAGCTCCGGTCCGAACGGGTTTGCGAAGCGCCTCGGCCGCCCTCCGACGGTGCCGAGGTGCTTCCGGTGCATGCGCCGCAGAACGACCTCTCCAGCGAGTCCAAGCCGCGGCAGCCTGGGGGCCGAGTCCAAGCCGGGGTTCGCACTCGCTGTCGCTGCGAGTTTTTCGTGAACGCAGCGAGTGCCACGTGGCACGGAGGTTTTTCGTGTGGTCTGTTTGATTCTTTTCAGTGCTGTAGAAGCTTTTGGGAAGGCACATGAAAAGAGAGAGTGGGTTTTGGTGTTGGTCCTTTGAGAGAGTTCTTCGCTTTTCTGGGTGTACTATTTCCGACGTTGGAGTCAACCTCCTCAGAAACGGCGAACCTCCCCGGCGTGTCCTTTTTCGTTGGGCACCTGCCTGGTTGGTGTTGCCCGAAACGGGTGGTTCCCTGCGTCTTTGTTCGGGCCCAGACATTTTTTTGGGGGGCGTGAAACAGCTTGAACTACCAAATCTGGCCAGCACAGAGTGTGAGAGAGACCACTCCAAGACCCCTGAAAGGGATCATGTTGGTTCAGGTATCCGCGGCCCAACTTCTGTTGGGAAGCCTACAAGCAGGGGCGCCCCGGGAGAGTGCGCCCGGTGAATCGGACGGTGCGCGGATCGTCCGCGGAGTGGCCAAGTGCTGCCGCCTGCTTGGACATGCAGACCTCTTCATGTCAGGGGGGTTGAAATAGATAGAATATGATAGAATCAAGAGTCTACAGGACCTTTCGTGGGACCTCCAGGCAGCTATGACATGCTATGACCTCATGAAGCCAGGGACCTTTAGTGGGGGGGATGACGGGGGGGGGTTCTGGACTCCAGAGAAGAGGTCACCAACGGTCGGCCGAGGAATTAAGGGGAAAACCATGCCTGGAAGCCGGTCCGAGCGGCACTCCCAGGGCGAGAGGTGTTTGAATAGCATTCACTGGACAAGTTGTGGTGGGTGGAGTTTTGGCTTGTGAGTTGTGAGGAACTTCTTTGTTTATTTTCCTTGAGAGCGTTTTTAGGCGTGAAGCACATAGAAACTCCAGGGCAGTCTCTTCACTAGTCACTAGATTCTGCAGTCCGAGAGGGGAACATGACCGCACTTTCTACCAACAAACTGCAACTCATGTAGACTCCCCCTTGTGAAGTGTTTTTACAATCCAAATGTTTTTTTGTTTTATATGACTACTAGTTCAAGACTACATTATTGTCCATTGTGGGGTACCCCGCAAGCGGGCCTCAGGGGGCCCTGGGCCCTGGTAGAGTGACACTTTCCCCGCTGGTTGATTGGGGCACCGGTCGACGACGGAGGATGCATTTGGCGATGATCGGGCCAAGTTCTACGTGCAAGAAACAGTTCTTGGAGCGAATACTGGGGTGAGGGGAAGGGTGGCCAAAGGGGGTTCTATGGCCAAAGTATGTTCACGTGTGTTGCCTGTGATGGTTGGATAAAACACGTGAAAACCGAACAATCAGAGATATCACATTTGAGATTAAAGCAGTCTGGCTGCTCTTAGTCTTTTTTGTTCGTGTGGCCAGCCGGAGAAATATACTTTAATGACATAGTCTAGAGTCTAGCACATCATGTCACGTGTCAATCCCCCGTGTGTCTCGCTGCTTGGTTCGCTCATGCAATCATCGCAGTCGAAGTGGTGGAATGGGAGATGAGATGAGATCAGGGTGAGTGAACATGTCCAGATCGTGCAGAGTAGTCCAGCTGTCGCTGTCCCAACACCGGTGAAAACCATGGTTTGCTGTCGATGTTCTCTTTTGCCAATCCATTGAACCTGAGTGAAGAGACCATCAGGATCCCTCCCACGACTTCCGAGCCACTCGGAACCTGTGCGGAAAAATAGCCGGGACTCGTGGTGTTCCAACGACGCTGCCGTGGGTTCCGCGGCCGTCGGTTCAGCCGTCGGTTGAAAAGCAGCCAGGAGTTCATGCCCCAGATCGCCCATATCTTCAAGGGCACAGCCTCCAAGATGGCGCCTGGACGAGAGGCGGGGATGTTTGGACCTACGAGAGGCCTGGGGTTAAGGTTTGACGTTGAAGAGGACCTGCGTCTTCAGTGACTTGGTGACCCCGAGTGTAATGTATAAAGTATTATAAAAGTGTATCTCAGGAGTTCTCAAACAGATGGAGCTTCGAGTTCTCTTGTACACATGTCTTTTTTGCACATCATTGGATTCACTCAAGTCTCGTCATTTGGCTATTTCCACCCACCCCACCCCACCCCAGCCGGGGCGCAGTCGCTGCCTCCAGGCCGTGCCGTACCACTTCTTGGACAGCGAGCTCAACAGGCGCTGCCGGAGTTGTGGTGTCTGCTTTCCCCCATGGCTGCGCGGCGCTGTGACCCGGCGGTGGGCGGTTTTATGACTACTTGTTAGTTATATGGTTTTGTTTTTAAACCAATAATAAAACCAAAGGTTCGTGAAATGGTGTGTTTTGTTTTATTCACCAAATAGTTTACTGTTAGGGGTTCTCTATTCTTTCTTAAGATGTGTCCGCCCTTTGTGTCACTGCTGGTGTCCGCCCTTTTTCCGCTGGCCATGTAGCATTTCTACTGACCTGCGGCAGGTAAGTAGAATGGACCTTACCTGGTGTTGCCACAGTCGGCGTGAGAGAAAGAAGCCGATGAAGAGGTGGTGATGATCATCCTGGACAGTTGGCGTCAGACAGTCTCTGACGCAGGGAGGTGACGCAGGGAACTCTTGTGTCATGCAATGTGCTCACGAGACCAAGCAGGACGGCTTGTTTGAAGGCCTATGCTGCTGAAGGAAAGCCCCCTTCTTGGTGGTCATTGTGTCCGTCTTGTCTCCCTTCTGTTTCATTTTGTCTCCATTCTTGTTGGTCATTGTGTCGGTCTTGTCTCCCTTCTGTTTCCTGTTGTCTCCCGTATTGTCCCCCTTCTTGTTGGCCATTGTGTCCGTGTTGTCTCCCTTCTGCCTCCCTTTGTCTCCGGTCTTGTCTCCCTTCTTGTTGATGTCTCAAAAAGTGGACTTGGGAATGCTTCTTTGTTGTCCCACCTGTTTGGGGTCTACAGTGGTGTAATGTTTCTGTTTTTGTGCAACATGTGATACAGTGTATACACCTTTTTTTTGGTCCTCAACTTCGCCCCGCTGTCGTCCCGATTGGACACCTGATCTAAGATCTAAGAAGGGGCCGGGCCAGGCGCCCTGGTGTCCATGGGATCGAGATCTCGTCTGAAAAAAGACGTGAGCTGACGTGAGCGACGTGAAATGGAGACGTGAGCTGTTTCACCCAATGCTTGGTGGGTTCCCTTGGCAAACAGATGGCGCACGGGACCTTGCAACTGCGGGCGGGAGCGAGCTCGCTCGTTCAAAGCGTTGCAGGGTGGTCCTGTGGGACTTGCCGGAGATCAAGTTTAAGCAGAGCGCCGAGGACGGTTTTTGGTGCTTGTTTCCTGGCTTGGACATCGGATTTCCCAAGGTTTTGTGGGGAAGTTCTACTCATACCCTAGCCGCTGGCCTTCCAGGACCCGCAACAACAATGGTGGACCTGGTTATTTTGTAGTCATTGCCTCAAATCCTTCGTAAAACAATGGGCTGTTCATGAAAGGTAGCCCTTTAGGGGATACCTTGAGTTTGTCTTGCGAAGCAAGTGTTGGGACGTCCGGGTCTAATAATTGATCGCTCAATTCAGACCCCCCCCCCCTGAAAAGTAGAGCCTACCTGTACAGGGTTCCACTCCAACAGCCGATATAGTGTGTCCATACTTGACTGCTTCAAGGCTCAAAGAGCAAGAGGATAAGACTCTGCGCATAAAAGACACTAGCGGTCTGCACCTCTACCGTGTACGCCCTAGTGACTCTTTCAGTGGTAGCGGAGCAGTGATCCTGGAAGACCCAGGTGAGCT